TTTTGAATTAAGAGGAAATCTGCAGCAACAAAAGGCAGTGCATGGAGTTAAAGATATGGTAGACCTTCAAGGGCCTTTTTTTTTTCCTGTTAAACTAAGCATAATGGCTTTAACAATAGTTTCCAAAAAAACATTGATAAAATATTGAAACATGCACAAGTTATTTACACAAAAGTATTTTTGAATGGGCCAAGTTGAAGAACCATTTGTAACATGTCATTACATAAATGACTACAGGAAGGTTTCTTGTGGCAAAACATCCTGGTCCTTGAATTTTAATTGCATAAACATCTCTTAATTTTGGTTGCACATGGAGATCTTTAAAACTAGAATGTGAATGGAGAAAGATAAAAAGGAGAAGAGTCCATGGGTGAAAGTAAAAAAAAGGTTAAGAAATTTGAGATGGATTGGTGAAAGAATCTCACTGAATTGGATAAAGGTTGATGGTTTTAGGCAATCTTCACTGCTGAGTCTCCCAAGACTCTGCAGGATGCTTCTGTTTAATTGTATTGGCATAGGTATTTCAAGCTTTTCAGAGTGTTGGCATATCTTGACAGGTAATCACCCAAAGATGTAAATTGTTGGGAAAAATTTGGAAGTAAAAAAAACCTCCTTTGTTTTTACGCAAATGTGTCTTCTTTGAACAAATTAGTAAGGTATATAAACTTTACCAATTGCCTTAAAATTTGGTTCAAAGACTCCCAAGATGCCAACCCAAAAAAAACTGGAGAAATGTATCTCCACAATGACCTGCAACATTAAGAGTATTGGTAAAATTTTGAACAGCAAATTTGACAGACAAGTTGCAAAGCATCCAATAAGAATATTGAAAAATCCCCACATGGTTTTGAAGACCAACCCGGCCATCAGGATGGAAGTTGTCCAGAGGTTTTATAAGCAATTAATTCACTTAAAGAAACATTGTCCATTTCTAATTGTCCTGCCTCATTTGGTTTACAATTAGATCAAGCTTATACAAAATAATTTTTGCCAATTATAGTGCATTTCATAACCTTTCCATTGATATATAGTTTATGGTGGCTATGCTTTAGATACTTACTTCATAGTTGTTCAAAATGAACATTGAAATGTCATTACAATAAGCTTTAAATTTTTCCACTGCAAAATAAAGTTGAGAATTGAAGTTTGAAATACCAGTAGTATAAGATTGTCAATATACATCAGTCATAGCTTTATTATTCTAAAGAGCTGCCTCTGCAGCTCTTTAGAAGAATTTATAATAACTGGGGCAAAGCCAATGTGTACTTTATTTTTAAAGCTCAGCACTCCAATACTCAATACTCTAAAAATGAATGTTTTTCTCTGGACGGATTTAAAGCAGGCTGACAAGGATCATTACTCAGATTGATCTCATCATACTGAAATTGAACTAAAAGCAAAACTTATGTCTAAATGAGATCAGTCTAATTTCTTGTCAGTAATTTTGATATTAAATTGTTGACAGTCGTAAATTAATACAAACACAAAGCATGTACATTTGCTTTTTATATTTGGTTTAAGTTTTTTAACTACTAAGACTTGCTGTATCAAATTTCATGATTATATAAATTTGGGAATATCACCTGGAGGTACAACTTGTACCAATTACATGGAAATGACTATGATTGATATTTAAAGAAACTATTCAAGCACAGAGTACATATAATTATATTAAGAACCTTGACATCTGAGGAAAAATTTATGAAGAAACACAAATTTGGCAAGGTGGTTTATGATGTAAAATCTTAAGGATTATCAAGCATGTTTTCTGTGCCAAATGATGTGTTAAAATTATTTTTATTTCCAACAGAAAACTGTTGAAAAAGGCAGCAGCATCTAAGTTTTCTGAATACAGGAATATTTAAATTGTGGCAGCATGGGTGAGTTTTATAATGTCTTAAGAAGTGACCTAAAGTGGATAACATTGCAAGTTCCCAGTGTTGGTTATTTTATAATTGTGGGTCTGTTTTGTTTTGAGTGGGTTAATTGCTCCAACATGAACCCTTTACACCCTAACATCAGTCTCTGTATTCTCCATACTGTTCTCTATACATTTCCTAGGGTGCAGATGAAGAGAATTTGTTCAATAATCAAGAGCCTCTTTAGCTGGTCATTCTTGTGACCTTAATGTGTGATTTAGGAGTGATATTATGAGGAGAAATTAGATGCTAGTCACTCTTAGGGGTCATAGGGTTAAGTTTTATCAAAAAGAGTAACAACTGTTAACAATCTTAATACTTAATCATAAATAACTTTCTGTAATGTACCAATCATAATATCATTGACACTATGTTGTTTTCTCAGATATGATCAAATCTTTGAAATTCTTTATTATAATACCAATAAATATTTATAAATTGCTTCAATGATTTAGGGGAAGGAAACAGCATGGAGTGACTGTTTAAGTGACCAGAAACAACTGAGTTAATTTAACTGGCTGATCAAATAAACCTGACCAGCATGGTCTGACTAAATTTGTGGCTGTATCCAGGCCAGCCTAAGGTCACCAAAAGCTATTCTTGTAAGACCTGACATGTAGGACCTAAGAGCACTTCTTTCAGCATCTCTTGCATTCATCTTTAAGTTTGCAAATCTAGTCTCAAATTTTATTATTGACAAGTACATTTAATTGACCAGCACTCAAGTCATTAAAAATTGTCTTTATTCATAAACCTATGTTCTAACTGGGATCAAAGTTAACATTCCACAAACTGTAACTTTGCTAATTCATAGACCATCACAGGAAATAGAATAAAATGTTTCTGTTGAGGTCGGTACCTGTATACACAGTTATTTGATGAAGGCAAAAGATAAGAAAAATTAGGGGTCTTATTGGATTTCATAGAAGCAGACAGATGGCAATAGCAAAGTCTATGTCAGGTAGCAGAGTAAAACATCTGAATGAGAGGCAATTTGAAAAAAAAGGATACAAGTGGCTTATCTTGGTTTTATGCACATTTGGGTGTTTAAGCTTTTGGTAATAAATTTCATCTTAGGGTTTGTTACAACCCTCAATTCATTGTCACACAAAGTTATTTATTAACTTTTGTGGAATTCCAATCTGAGTGCAACCCAAGATAGGACCTGGTGGTCCAGAATTAACAAGCCCTGTGACCCTTTCTCTCCATGTCATTTTTTTAAGAATAAAGAAAAATGGAATGAATGTCCTGCAGTAAGTAAAATTTAAGCCATAAATTATGAATTTTTCCTCCTTCTTAAGCTAACCTACAGGAATCTTAATCTTATATTATGAATCTTACAGGAGTTACAAAACAATATACTTCTTACACTATTTTTAAAAGAGTTATATGGAATAATAATTTTAAAAATTGTAACAATAATAACTCGATACAAACACAACTGTACAGTATTTGAAAGAGAGGCCCCTGAGATTATCCCTATAAGAAGGGCTTCCTAAGTAACTAACTTTACTGTTCAAAATCCATGTACATTTTGACATTTCAAAATCTATTTTCAAAACAGCGCTGAGGTAAAAACAAAAATTAAACAAAGCAAAGTAGTACAAAGGGGGCAGTAAATGTAATCAACTAATGTTCATCCAAATGAATCATTGTTCCTCAGAAGCACTTGAGTGGCTGGCATTTTTTGCTGGTTACACATTTTTTCTGAAGCACCCACTACACACTGCTTAGATTTGACAAAACAGTAATTACTTGTCTTGATCTGAATTAAGTTTTAGCCTTAGCCTTTACATATGTAGTGTTATTTTGTGGCTGGCAACTAAAATGTCTCTGGAGACCAATAATTTGTTTTGAGAATACAATACTGGTACCTAAACGGTTGGGAAAAAAATTTGATTGGGGCAGCCATAACTTTGAATTCTACCTTGAAACCTGATTTTCTATGGTTTCATCAACACCTTACTGATAACTGTTTATAAACCACACATTGCGGTTTTGCATGTGTTGCTAGCGGGACACCACTTTTCAAAGTTCTGCTGATATCTGCATTTTAAAATTTTTACACATCTGAGGAAGAAATACTGCTGTAATGGTTAGAATACTTAATTACTCTTACTGTGGTCTATAATTAAATATCAATGAACACTTTGTATTGGTAGAGATTGAAATATGGAGCAATTACTTCATGATAATGATGATGATGATTAAGTCTTTATTGAAAAAATCAGACTCAACAGAAGTGAGTCTTTACAGGCAAAATCATAAAAATAGAAGCAATTTAATATCTATAACATGATATAAAAAGAGATAAAAGGGAATAATCAAACATAACAAAATATGATCACACAAGTTTAAAAAGACATCTGTTCATTGATAAGTTTTTTAATGCTCCATTTCTTATCTGGGGAAGTTGGAATTCATACCCCATTTTCTTTGGTATTCTTGTCTGTTTTGGCAACAAACAGATCTTGAGGTGAATGGTTTTATTGTGGTGATGATTTTGTAAATCCCCAGACTTCCAGGCTATACACAAAGAGGGATAAGATGAGGGAGTCAAATAACTTGTTGAGTTGATCCTGAGAATTGCTGTAAAACTTGCAAACCCTCAATATATACAGCCGAGTGCTTGCTTTGGTTATTAGGTTGTCAACGTGGAGGTCCCAGCAGCAAAGGTGTTCTTGAAATGTAATACTGTTCGTTAGAGCAACTGACAAAGTGCTAATGCTCAAAACATCAGCTTTAAAACTCTTTACAGTGGCCAATTGACATTATCACCTCAGGTGGTAATACTTAATTACCCTTCTATACTCTCCCACTGAAGCAGCACCACAGTTTCCTAAGACACTGATCTCCTCTGTTCTTACTTTCAATACTTAAAGTACCAGGTGTGGTTTAGGCTTGATAGTCATACAATGTATCAGCATTTGCCATGGCCACACTTTGATCACCTTTCAGATATGTGACATGTTTACAAGCAAACATGTGTTTACAAATAATTTATGTTTATCTATTTTTGAATTAGTTTCTAATTTCATTTTTTCACTTCTAGGAAAACTTTGAACACAGATCCAATTTGTTATGATGGCAGGACCTAGTGATGACAAGTGCAGCAGCTCTGTGGTTTGCAGTGATGACCCTCCACCTCTGAGTATTACACTGAAGAAGACAAGAGATCTGCCAAAGAAGATGAAACTTTGGGGCAAGGACTATCCTGCAGTTGATATTCTGCTCTTGACTGTGGAGGATTGCGAGTTCTTGGCTTGTTATCATTACCTGAGAGATTCCTTTAAAAGCTATGAGAAATCCATTGGATGTGTGTATTTTGGAAAGATGGGTGAAGAGGAAGGTGGGTCACTGAAAGTTGCCCTAGTGAGGTGTTCTAAAGAATCTTCAGATCCTGGAGGTTCTCAAACTGCAGCTAAAAGTGCTGTCACACTCCTGAGACCCAAGGCTACTTTTTTGGTTGGTTTCTGCCATAGTTTGAATCCTAACAAAGCCCAGCTAGGAGATGTGGTGATATCCTCAAAGCTTACAACAGATTTCCACAAAACCCCAGTGAGTAGGAATGTTGGTAACCTTGTTAGAAGTGCAGCTGATGGATGGGAGGCACCATTAGAAAATCCAGAAGCACGAGAAGTCAAAGTACATTGTGATGGAGAGATTTTGAGTTGCTCTGATCTGATTGGTGCTGAACAGCAATGTCAATCACACCCTGGGGCAATTGCAGTTGATATGGAAGGAAAAGGTGAGAATTACTCTCAGGGTTACTCTTGCTTGGCATCTGTGATCACTGTGCTGAAAACTGTTTTGCCATAAAAAGAACTACATGTATTTCTCATGTTCAGTGTGACTTCATGTTACCAGGATCACTCACACAGAGCTGACCAAACCCAATTACACAAAACGGTCAATTAACTCTATTTAAACTCTTTTTCATGTGTGTGCTTTGGGCCTAAGCACTGATTGGCACAAGTGAATTTAGATGGAATCATTGTTCATTTCTTTATAATATAACTTTTTTATCTCATCTCAGTTACCCAGTAACCAAAGTATTACCATAAAGATGATTATTCCCAGTCACTTACAAAGGCACACTGCAAGCAAGAAATAAATTATGAGTAGTCCCAGAGGTTTTCAAACATAATGTGTATTACACTCTACCCGCAAATTGATGTTCTCAATCTTTGCCACTGAGCCACAGGACTAGAGGGGAGCTTCTGGTCACCACTCTGTAAGGCCAGGTTTCTGGAGGAGGAGAGAAAGTTAGGAATTCTTTTTGTATGGGGAGTGATCACCACAAGTGTACAATGATAATGATTTTTGCAGTATACCCTCCACTTTGATGTTCTTAAGCTTTACCTCTGAACTACAGGAGGCTGGTTGCTAAACTATTAAACTAGGAGGAGGGTAGGAACTGAACTATTTTTGTAGGGGGAGTGGTCGGCACAGGTGTACAATGGTAATCTTTACTGATTACACTGTGCCCCACTTTGATGTTCTTAAGCTTTACCTCTGAACTACAGGAGGCTGGTTGCTAAACTATTAAACTAGGAGGAGGGTAAGAACTTAACTATTTTTGTAGGGGGAGTTGTCGGCACAGGTGTACAATGGTAATCTTTACTGATTATACTGTGCCCTCCAGCTTGTCATATCTTCAAGCCTCATCTTTTGAACTATTCAAAGCTCCTGGTTGCTAGACTATTTAGCCAGGTTCTTGTTAGAGGCGAGGTACTCAATACTTTTTTTCGAGGGAACTCTTTCCTGAATTCCAAATCCTTACTCTCTGATATACCGCTTCTGACTAAAAAGGTACTCCGCCCAATTCATTATACTCTTAATGAAGAGTGGTGCTAATTTATATACCTGCAGAAAAACACATCTCTTAAAGACTTCCAGTAGCAAAGGAAAAACAAAAAGGGTGATCTGCAGAAAAACGAAGCCTCTTTTACTCAAACCAATCGTAAAGATTTCCCTATAAAATCATTGTTTAAATCCATTCCGATTTTTATTGCTTTTTTTTATTCATTTTTCTACCTCAGGCCTGTTTGCAGCAGCTCATGACATGAAGATGGAGTGGCTTGTCGTTAAAGGTGTTTGTGGTTTTGTACATGGCGTTGCATCTACAAACGATTCGTGGAAGACTTTTGCTTGTGTTATGGCAGCTTCTGTTGTATCCAACATACTGAGGAACTCTTTTGTGTTTGGAGACTGGCCTCATTACGGAGGTACGTGTACACATTTGTAACAGCTTTGGTTGTGTCTTCCAAGAGGTCTTCTAACTTGCTCTTTTTCCTCGGTATAGAATATCGTTATCTGCTGATGAGAACATGAAGGCCAACAGTGGAATTAAATTTACATCAGAAAACTGATAAACATAGGCATTCTTTGTTTTTCAATCGCACTGCTGTTAAAGAAAACTGAGACATGTACAAATTCACTTAAGTAGTTCTAATTTCAATTTTGAGGTCATGGACAATGTTCTGCGTTGCCTTTGTATTTCATTAGTCTTAAATTAAATCTTTTATCTTTCGTCTTTGATCATAGGTATTACAAATCGTTTATTAAACACGCTTATCAACTACTCTCCAGACTCTTGCGCAGTAAGATGACCCCAAATTTTCTTTATTTACCTTTCTGCGAAATACATCACTGTTACTGACCAGTTTAAAACATTGACGAGATCTAAATCGTAGCTTTTATTCCCTCCCAATGAATTTCAATTCTTCAAGTCAGATAAATTTCCTTTTCTCTTGAATTCCGTGTGCGGGCTCACACGAGATTTTCATCTTCAATCAGCACTTGTTTTGACTCCTGCTTGTTACCCATTTCACAAATTTAGTGAAGTGTATTTTAATTCTCATAATAGTATAAATTTCTTTTATTTTTGCAGACAATTCGACGGGAGAGGAGAGTTTTAAAAGTGATGATCCTTCAGAAAATAAACGAAGAAGGCTAGCAGGTATTATAATTATCAAGTGAAGAAATTTCATACCAAGCTTTCGTTTTAATAACTTATATTATACTTATAGCGGTAGAGTGTCCGATCGCAGAATCTGAAGGTGTTAGGTTCTATTCCTGGTGAGGACTCAAAATTTTTCCTTTGTCTCACGCTCGTGACAAGACAGTCATACTTCTTTCCTTTCCCTTTTCTTATACCAATTTGTCATTCTTGTTCAAGAAAAAGTACTGCGCTAAAAATTTTATGAAATAAAAATTCATGAAGTTTTTTGTTTTTACTTTGGCCGCTTCCTTTCCCAACGTTATTGATCCATGATAAAATAAATGCTGGAAATTTAATCTTCCCTCCACTTTCAAAAGAGCTACCGACAAAGGGAAAAATAAAGGAACAGAGTGTGGGTGGGTTTTTTTGCCGGGATTGGGGGGGGGGGAAGGGGGCGGTGGCAGGGGTTAATTATCTTAATCCTTTCATGCCGAGAAAGCTGTACTTGAGTTCGTGTGATGTTAGAAACTTGGCATCGTGTGCATAGTTATTCCTTCAATAAAAGTTCAATTCCTTTTTTTTTTTATTTTTCTTAGAACCGTTGAATGTTGAGATGTGTCAAGAGCAGCTTAAGTCTTATTACAACACCTTTAGCAAGGTGAAAATCATTCCATGGGACGACAGCTCTTCCATTCAGATTGATGAGATCTACACACCTTTGTCTTGGGTCAGAGATCACAGGAAGCCCAGCGGAGTGACACAAGAGGAACTTGAAGACTACACCGACATGTTCAAGGAAAAACCAACACGAATGCTTGTTTATGGTCGGCCAGGAATTGGCAAGAGTACGTTTTGTAAGAAGGCTGCATATGATTGGTCGAAAGCCTTAAGAGAAATCCTAATGAACTTTTGCATTTTGCTTCTGATTAAGTTGAGAGATGTGTGTGACGTGGGAAACATCCGCGACGTTTTACGTGCGTCTAAATTGCTGGCCAGTGATGGTCCGATCTCAGTTGATAGTCTCTATGATTACATAACTAACAATCAAGATAAAGTGCTTCTTATTTTGGATGGCTACGATGAGTACAGCTTTGCAGAAGAACACTCACCCATCCTTGAAATTTGGAAGGGTGAGCAACTAAGAGATTGTCACGTTATTGTCACCACGCGTCAACTTAAATGTGACGAGTTAAGAGGCCCCAGCCACGTTCAGTTAGAAATTCAAGGTTTCAAAAGCTGGGAACGAAAAGAAACCTTTGCGAGAAAATTTATGGCAGGTGAAGAAGATCTTAACGAGTTTAGGCTCTACCTGGAAGAAAAAGATCTCGATGACATGGCAGAAATACCTCTCCTCTTACTGATGCTGTGTAGTTTGTGGAAAGAGAAACGTCACGAAGGACTGCCAAAATCACGGGCCGACATATTCACACAATTCATTCAAACCATGCTGGATCACAAAGGTGGAAGTCACCAGCCTATGCCATTTCAGAAAATGACCTCAACAGAAGCCAGAGAAGACCTTAGTAATCTTGGAAAGGCTGCCTTTGAAGCACTTCTGCAAGACCGTCTTTACGTACGCTGCAGCGAACTCCCCCGCAATATTTCAAGAAGTTTTGAAAAATTAAGTGAAGTTGGGCTTTTCCAGATTGTCAATCTTACGAGTCTCAATCCTGAGAAAGGGGCCTATTTCATTCATAAATCCGTACAGGAGTTCCTTGCAGCCTGGCACATTAAGGAGGAAGTGTTGTCGAATAAAGGAGAAAGTACGCCTAGCCTTTCCAAAGTTGAATCATTTGAAAAGATCGATAACATGAGAGAAGTTCTGAAATTTGCCTGTGAGCTGTCAACAGAAGCCGCGTGCGCAGTTTTCCATCATGTGGGGTCTGTTGGAAGAAAGGAATCTTTGACGGAATCTGATTTCATTGAGCTGCTTCTGGAGGATGAAGAACTGTCTCGAAATCAAGAACTTTATCTTGAGCTTATCTCGCATAGCTACGTTTGTTGTTCGGCCGAGAAGAGGCTGGATCTCTACTCAGTGTTTCCCTCTTGCACCGGAGGTGTTTTTTTGTATCTTGATTCTAACCAGGTGAACATTACTGCAAATGAACATTTGCTGAAATCTGGCATGATACCCGACTTTATATTTTTCTATGACAACGAAAATTCAGAGAAAAGCTATCGAGACTTGATCACTATAGCGGAGGACACAAATGCAGTATTTTTGAGCTGTTCGGGCGAAAAGAAAGCTGCAGATTTACTGAAGAAGTTCCCGCGTCGTTATTTGGGCGAGTTCTTTTTGAAGAGAGAGAGAAAAATCGTCGTTTATGTTTATCAAATATACGTAGTAAAATATGGTAGCACTTTTCCGACTGAAATGCTGCGAGAGCTCATTTCGCCAACAGCAGAGTCTACTCAGGTGACGCGTCTTGTTGATCCGTTAAATGAACACGACAGCGAAACAGCTTCGAGTTTGACTCAGAACACCGATAGCATCACTGGTCCTACTCCGCAGAGCCTTTCCTGTGTGAAGGAGATTTATATTGAAGACATAGAAAGGCAAGAGATAAAGATGCTGGCTGATTTCTTACCACTTTTCACTGCTCTGCGTTATATATATATTTTTCGTAAATCCTCTGAAATCATTGATGCTCAGTTGACAGAGACCCTGGTGTCTCGTATCATCTTCACTGACAGACTTGGCAAATTAATACTTTCTAATATCAATTTAACAGCCAAACCTGCCGCAGTCATCGCCAGATCTCTGCACCAGGCTCCTGGCCTGCAACACCTCAACTTGTCAAAGAACCCTCTTGGTGAAGGAGTAAGTGTTCTTATTCAACATCTCAGCCGTGTTCCTCACCTGGGGAGGCTGAGGCTTTCTGATGTCAAAATGACAAAGCAACAAGTGAATGAATTGAGTGCAGCTGTACGTCAGAGTAACATCTCCTGGTTGGACACACAATACCACGTAAGTTTTGTGATCTTAGTTTGCACAAATGTAGTCATAATTCTTATAGATTCTGTTCAATTTCTTGTGGTGTTGTTTTGCAATTGCGATGTAGCTATCTCCAAGCCACAAGAGACACTTGCGCATTTCCGAAAAACGCGTGTGCGGGCAACAGTCAAAGTTGAACTGAAATGGAGCATCTTCTTTAGATTCATTAAGAATCCCCAGTCCCAAAAAAAAAAAAAGAAAAAGCCCAGTCCATTATCCGCATTGCTGGACAAATGGTAATTCGCAGCTCAATTTCGTTCCGTTTTAATCATGCTTTCATAACATTCTTTTGTATTTTGTCGCAACAAGCCGACTCGCAAACGGTTCGTAAGAGAGGAAATCCAAAGCGAAGCAAATATTGTGGCTTTTTGATGATGTTAACGATTTCAATTAAAAGGTTTTCATTCCCGAATTACTGAAAAGGCTTACATGCATTAGAACATTATACAGTCACTCTTTGTCGCTACCATTTAATTTGTTAAACTTGGAAGCAAAGCCAGTCATTTTTTTTCAGTCAAGATGAGAGCCAACTTAAGTATTTTTGTTTACGTTTGAGGAGGGGTGAAGTCTGAAGTGTGAAGTGTGTTTTTGAGTGTCTTAAACAATATCATTTTGTGTGTCTACAGTGGAAACACAGAAACTGGATACACTCCATTCCTAATTCATCCCATTAACCTCGATAAATCTATTCCTTTTATAATTAGAACCAGAGAAAAAAGTAGAAAATAAAGTAAAACGAAAGTAAATGCGTTCCACTCCGTGCGCTTGAATGTGAGGACGGCCGCGTGTTTTCAGATATTAATGACAGAAAGTTAATGTCAGTGTTTGGAAGAGATCAAGGAGCTACTTTCTAAACTTGTCTTAAAATTTAGGAAATCTGCTAGGACTGGTTTTCGACTTTTGTTTATTCGTTTAGCTATTCTTTTACATCGGAAAATGGTCTTGATTTCCGTAAGGGCAACAGAATGGAGGGAGTAAACAATTGCTTGCACTTACCATGAACTGAGCATCTGTCTGTAAGAAATGATTTGAGACCCTAGTTTTTTCACTTTGTTTTATTTACAGCTCTTAGGAGTTGTTAAACAATGTCATACTTTAAAGCTGAAGCTTCTCTCTGATGGAGGAAAAGCTAAACTTCAAAGGAAATGTGGTGTGTTTCTGGACACTCTGAGAAAAAAATTTTAATACCTGATTATTCCCTTAGAAAGAGCTTCTGGAATAGTATTTGGGAGTTTTGTAGAAGGAAGGTTAGCATAAATCTGTAAATTTTGATTGATTAACTCAGTGGTTTACTATATCATTTAGGTTTTGAAAAAATGCTGTAAAGGCACAGCAGAATTTTTTTACCCTTAAACTTCCTTTTACACAGATTTTCCTTTTCTTCCTCTGGTCCTAACCAGAAGTCACCAGGAACGTTGTCGATTAGAAAAGAAATGAACAAGGGCTTCCACTTGAAAAGTAGTGGAGAAAGAATGCTACCACTGTAAGAGAGATACTGGTTCAAATTTGCAGGCAGAGATTCTCTAATGTCAATGGTTTGCAGTTACTTTGTTCAAACATGTTTTTATCCTACTCTATCCAGAGAGTTTCTTGTTAATCAGCCTGTGTAAAAATAATAATGAAGGTTACATCTGTCTGAATCAAACTTGCCCTAACTGGTGATATGTCTTTACATTTTTTATATTAACTTACTAAGCAGACTGCTAAGCTGATGAGCTGCTGAACTACCAAAATATTGCAGCATTTGAAATGCTCACAAATAATGTCCACCTTTGCAGTTTCCTAAGTTTGAAAATGAGTACTAGCTGTGGATGAGCCACTTAGTAAATATTCTTAACCTTTAAAGAGGAGACATCAGCAGTTCCTCATTCTCACATGAACCACTGAGCCTTTTCCTTAAAAGGTTACCTTTAGTTGTATTCTCTGCATGGGCTTGTCAGGTCAAGTAGCTATAAGACTCTAGGAGAGGTGGTCACTTTGATGTTATGTATATTTTTTGAACACTTCAGCTTATTTCTCTAATAAAATAATCAGTATGGGCCCCACCATGGATGTAATTGGAATATATCTAAATTTTGGTGAGCCTTGTGATGTTTGCTTACATGGAACGTTCCTTAATATAAAAGTTGTTTTAAATTGACTCAGTCAAACATACTCATGGCATAATTTCTCTTCATATAAAAAGTAACAAGGGTAAACAAGTTGGAGTTCAGGTGTATGTTGTTTGACAGGATGATGTTGATTGTTGGTTTGTGATTTATGACAGGATCACAAAGGGAATGTCAAACCTGAAGAAGAATGGCCAACAGATGAATACTGGGAAGATCATTGGAGCGAATCAGAAGAAGAGTCAGATCCTGGGTCAGGTATCAACTCAGGTGATGAGGAGGAGCCTGGGTCATTTACCGCCTCAGGTGACGAGGAGGATCTTGGGTCAGGTACTGACTCAAGTGACGAGGAGGATCCTGAGTTAGTTATCAACTCAGGTGACAAGGAGGATCCTGGGTCAGTTACTGACTCAGGTGATGAGGAGGAGCCTGGGTCCTGCCTGGAAACATAACTGACTGGGACTGACTCAGTAGACCGCCTGAAACTAAGGAAACTTACCATTGGCCAGAACTGTCAGGCCAGACCAGTCCATCCATTGATAGAATTCCTTCAGATCTACTCAGTTAGAGAAGTCAATACCTAAGTTGTAGTCATTGTGTTGAACAAAATTTGAAAACAAGTTTAGGAAACCTGATTAAACAAAGCACATTTCAAGATGATTGGTTGGTTTGGTAGGTTTCTGACCAATGGTAGGAGACTTCAGTGTGGTGATCAAATGAACAAACAATCAACTGTTGGATGAAAGATAAGGAAATATATTCTTAGAGTCACTTAGCTTAGGTAAATTGGTACCCTCACCAACATGGTAACTCCCTCCCACAACATCGCTAAGAACATGTGGGATGTTCCTCTGGAGTCAGAGTCTCATTCTTGAAATTGATTGTTGGATTTGGATATATTTTAGGTTATTTTTTGATGTCCAGTATTGTTGGTTGTAGTGTGGATTTACAGCTTTGAGCTTCAAAATTTGGTTTTCATGTCTTTGAGTTAGAGACTGTGGTATTTTTTGTCATTTTTAGTTTAGTAAGCTAATGGTTATGTGCTGCCTTGGCAATTAAATTATTCATTAGGCTTACTGTCCCTACTTTTGATGTAAATGTAAGAAGTCCTCAATGCAGCCATTCTTCAAAAAATCATAGATATTTCGGATCAAAATCAGTATCTGGGCAACTGCCCACCTACCCCTCCCCTAACTCAACAATAGTTAATTAATAACAAGTTAGGGTTAATGTTGGGCTAAGGGAGGGGTAGGTGGGCATTTGCCCAGATACTGATATTGATCCGATGTGGCAAAGAGCAAAACCTTAACTACAGATTGAAGTCTTCACTAAAAGCAAAAAAACAATGTGAATATCAATTTTGTGATTTAGGATCAATATTTTTCGTATTTTCATGGCATTCAAGATGCTGTGAATGAATTAAGCTGTTTGTTAATTCGGGACAGGCTTCTGCCTGCCTAAATTTCTAAAGATAACATTGGAGATTAATGTAAATATTGCATTGTGGTTGACAGTCAGTCATCAGAGCTTTCAAAAGTCAGTTGAGTTTGATGGAAGAAGGGAGACTGTGTTTGACAAGTATTTCCATAACTCTGAATTGTAAAATAATTTAATACAGTATTGTATTGGTTGTACTCTCAAATTTGTCAAGTGAGTTACAGTTAAGTCATGGTTATATTATATCTTTCTTATTTGAGAAGCTGGAATTGTTCCTTAGGTGACATGTTCCATTGTGGCTGTACATTGCACATTGTAAGACACTAACTCTATCTCCTGATTTTTATATATTAAGCCTTAAGGCTGATTTCTCAGTGATAAGTTCTGTTTTTAAGTGCTCCATTTTGCAATTGTAGAGGTGCACTAAAGTAACCTATATCAAACTAGAAAAAAGGGAACACTTTAAAACCTTGTGACAGCGAAGGTCATCACGACGAACCAATCGGACCATTATGTTTTATCACAAGCGTCCCAAGCTCACTTGTATCGAGGAAAAGCAAACGATTAATTCATGAAAGCGTCACGCGTTGTGTGACTCGGTGTTAAGTTACGGAAGGAACCGTTATAAGGAAAAGTATGGAGAAAGAAACATGGTCGATTTGCTACGATAAACATTTCAAGTATAAACATTTCACAAGGAAAATCATTAGAACTTACACACATCTTTTATGTCTGTCGTGGTTTCCGGTGTTCTCTACCGTTTTAAGCTTGTTTTGCCGTCACTGTTATTCCTGTACCCCATTTACCGATTCACACAACGTGTGACGTCTTCATGAATAAATTATTTGCGTTTTCTCGAAAGGTGAGCTTGGGACGCCTTTGCTTTTATCCGCACTGTAGTCACTGTCTGTTTCAGGCCTGCTCTGTTTGTGCAACTGCTCACGTGAAGTTTCATGCTGCAATCGATCAAGTAGAAGAGGATCACGGGATTTATGGGACGGCGTTGAAAGTAACCCACCCCACCCCTCCAACTCACCACGAGGCCTCTGTTTCTCATATATTTCCTAATAGTATCTCAAGATTTCTAATTTCCTGTCCTTCCCTCCTTCTCGGATTCTAACCTCCAAATGGTTTTCTGTTAGAAAAGCCTCGGTCAAATTCATCTATTTGCAAACTATAGTGGGAGGGGGACCGTGGGATATTTTTGTCATCTCTAAAATCCGCCATTTTTTATTTTTGAATTGTGATGTAATGAAAAAATGTTTTAAGAATCATGATTGACATGTATTGCATGACACGAGAAGGAGAAAAAACATACAGTGAAGGTAGTAAATTGTGTACTTGTACTGAAAGGAAGAGAATGCTGTGATCTGGTCAATGGCACATGAACGGTGTATCAGACCGATTACAAATTGACAAAACATCTGTCAATAAAATAAAACTGAGGAACTGGCTGATATTTACTGTATGCCACGTTCTTGAAAGATTCCGAAATTTCAGCTCTTACGGAAAATTTCCTAGCAATGTCAAGACGAGAGGGTCCGTCAGTTTTTTCTTCATGACTGTTTATATCTATTACTTCCTGGTTGCGATGTTGCGTTATTGTTGAAGGAAAGCAACCGAGTACCGTGTTTCCTTGAATAAGCACCCACGCTCCTATCATGTAACTCAAGCTCCTCAATTTTCTCTTTCCTCACTTTCTTAATCAATAGGCATACAAGGAAAATCTGTTTCAATTACCACTTTATTTACAACTTTTTAGCCTTCAACCACAGCGAAATCAATACAGGTTGATAGTTTAATAACTGGCCCCCTCGATTAATCGCCCTCCTTCCAATAAGCGCCTCTCCTTTTAGCAGAAATTCGAAATGAGCGCGGAAATAAGGTATTTAATCGGGTAGTAGAGGACGATCTTTCACCAGATGCTCTTATTGCCACATTTACCAATAAAAGCTCGTATACTAGGAAAACATTGTTTATTATTTCCTTACGGAGGTAGGCAACCCTCTCATTTTAACTGCATGCTATCGATGGACTGAGATGTTGACAGAATGACAAACCCAGTGAAAATAGTTTCTCTCCCAACACTTGGTGGAAGATCAAATCTGAAAACGATAGAGCTGCACTTTAATTGAAAACTAAAACTTGACAATCGGCCAAACAATTTGTCAACCAAAACCATGCATGAAAACGGATGAAAATGTGCGACGCTCCATCGAAATGTGTCAAAAAGGTTTTAGGAATGTTATCAAGAGGAAATGAGATTTTTATTAATTTGAAAATCGAAGGTGACTGACCATACGAAAGTTGTATCATGAATTTATAATAAATAATATTTAGGGCAAGGTTTTCTATACTTTTGCTTTTGAACTCTTAGCTTTGCAATGGCCATATTTAATTTTTTTCACTCGACTCACATTTATAGTTCCATAGAAGTTACTTAAGTAAGGATTGGCAAAACTTTACATTTGCATTTTCCCTCGGATTTATCATTACGTATGAAAAACTTAGACTGTAATCAAGTACACTTTCAAGAAGCGGTAACTTTCAGGAAGTCATTTTTTACCCCGACAAGTGGATCGCGTGACTTGCGAAAACCCAAGTCACGCAAACATTACTTCTTCCCAGATTCCTCGAAAATATCACAGTGAGTATTGGAAGGACATGAATTGATAAGCACATTCCAGAACACACACGCGGAAAAGCTCTAATTGCCGTGCTTGTTCAGACTTGAATAAGACTTGCTTGGAATTTTAAAGATAAACCGGTGCATCGAAAAAGATGTAAATGTAATCTTGACTCGAATATCAAGGTGAGCGATACTTTACATAGAACTTTGATCTTTAATTTATGTTTATTAAAAATTAAAATCTCATTTCTTGAACTAATTTAAGTCTTATCAGTCATTGTAAGCACGTCGTTTTCTTATTCGATGAGGGAATTTCCAACGTGAAATCTTGAAACTAATCAAGATAAAGACGTCTTTACCCCTGGTGATATTTGCAATAAAACCTCTAACAACCCACTGAAATTTTGTAACAGAAAAAAATTCTTCCAACCCAGCACGATACATGTCTTGGTATCATTTCTTGTACATGAATTTAGGCAAGGTGAGAAAAACGTTTGGGGGCCAAGTGTGGGTAAAGTATGAGCCACTTGTCAACTGAGTATCATCTGACGTGCATGTCGGTCAAGAGGCAATGAGTTGCAATGTCTGCCCCGTGGCGATCCCAGAAATCTGTGCGCAAACACAAGGATCCGATTACTGTCAACTTATTCATTGATGTCAGTCAACATGTGGACCGAGTGTTGCTTTACATATCGGCTGATACTCGGTTGTTATGTTGACTGTTAGTGTCAGTCGATACCCGTTCAACAGATGCCTTAAGTACACGATATCGGCTCCTTTTAACCACATATCCCGTACGAAAATTTGGAGCCTGACAGAGCCTGAAGACGGCCTTGTTCCGGACAGATTACCATTCATAGAGCCAAACATCGACACGACATGAGCCGGACAAAAAAATTGTCCTGGCTTTCAACTAATGAGCCAGAAAATGTTACGCTTTTTTCAAGGCCATGAGAGACCAGACAAGGCTAACAAGAGCAGGGCAAGAGCAGGACAAGAGCCAGACAACGCTGAGTACCTTTACACATTTTAAGGCAACATATAATTCAGTGCCTGACAAGTGACTGCCGCGAGCCAGACAAGCACTGTTTTTAAAATGCTTATCTTAGCGATAATTATTACCGCTCGATTCACTCGGATAACAAAGCGTAGTCATGAATGAATGTGATCCTCGCAGTAATGTGCACTACTTAGGCAGTAGTGAAAATAAGGCCTGAAAAAAAATTCAGGCCTGTGCGGGATTTGAACCCATGATCTCTGCCATACCGGTGCAGTGCTCTACCAACTAAGCTAACAAGCCAACTGGGAGCTGGTCATGATGTTGGTTCTAAATAAACCCGTGAAGTGATGAAATAAACGGTTAAGAATATATGAAATTCATATATTTGAACTGCGGATAAAGACGTGAATAAATGTGATCCTCGCAGTAATGTGCACTACTTAGGCAGTAGTGAAAATAAGGCCATAAGGCGGGATAAAGGATTGGACGGGTGTAGGCGGGATAAGGGATTGAACGGGTATAGGCGGGATAAGGGATTGGACGGGTATAGGCGGGATAAGGGATTGGACGGGTATAGGCGGGATGAGGGATTGGACGGGTATAGGCGGGATCATTATTTAGCTCCAGCTAAGAGTCACTCGATGTTGAATCTTTCACCCTTACAAATAGTGGAAAGGAAGTAGCTTCTGAGACAGATATCTCAGCCGTAAATTTGATTGTTAGGTGGTGTTTATTTGCTTGTTCAATGAACCGGTTGACGACGTATCTGTTGGTGAGCAAGAGAGAGTTTAAGTCTCCAAACGAGCGGTTTATTGGCGCCTTTATCTAGAATTTACACTTCGATTTTAGCTCTGAAGATATTTGCTAACGCTACTGCCGTTTCGGCGCCCACAGGGTTTCCGTGCGTTTCCAAGTAATTTTGTTCGTTGAATTGGGATGAGTTTTCCTGCAAAATCAGTCTAAATGGAGGGGAGGGGTGTATCTGTGCATAAACTCGTAACTTCTATTGAAAAGAGTATCACTTCTTTCGTAAGAGTTTTTTTCTTTGAAGTTGATGAAGTCTGTTGTATCTTTGAGATGAAATGAGCTGTTGGTCCTTCCGTAGGTGGAGTTAATTTTCTCAATTGTAAAGACCGTAAACACTCTGTGGAACAACTGTTTTTTAAGCCGGCTAGATACGCGTTAAGTGAGTCTTTCCCTTTCTCCATAATGAGAGAACATTATCAATATGGCAAAGGCTATAATTTGTCAATCAGTTTAAATAGGGCGTTGAACTAGAGAAACGTGGGTTTAACCAGGCGGGATTGGGATAGAAATGTTCATTGCGGCGGGATAGCGGGACGGAATGAAAAATAGCAGCGGGATGCGGGATTGGACAAGTCTATTTTGGACACACCCTGGTGGCTATTCCTTGTTGCATTTTAGTCATTTTAACATTGGTAAAGGTAATTCGTGGCCCAGATTGAGGTCTCTATCAAGAAGTCAAGGAAATGCAAAGACACATTTAAGTCTTTCTTATTGCAGATTTGCTAAATTTAAAACTACTTTTCACTTTACATTGTAGATAATGTAGAAGAGAATAATGCAGAGGGCGCATCATAGATCGAGCGTAAATCGTTAATGGCTAC